TTAACATTTGGCTAGTTGTCAATACGTGATAAGAAAGTCGTCATTACCTTTAAACTAAACATAGTCACTTTCCAATACATACAAGGTTCTGAAATTGTACATTACCAAAAAAAAAAATGTCACTTAGGTATTTCCACAATTTGCAAAAGGTAAGCTCCTAACATAACCATGACACTTAAATTAACTACTTACACTGTCAAGTACATGGTAGCCAAGATAATAACTTAATTACAAAATAAGCCCCTTATAAAAAAGAAACATGATAGATAATTTCTAGAAGAATTTACCATTTTTTATGTCAATCTATACCATACACGTCATATTGACAATTAACTCTTAAAGAATTAACAACACATATTGTCGTGTCATAATTGGGGATTTTTACCACATTAATGTCTGACCATATTCTTGCTTACCCATTAGCCAGGCAGAAACAATGAACCATTTTAACAAAAATACAAGCTTCTTTCTTAGTATGCTGATCAACTATGAATGATGAAACCTAAATGGAAAACAAAAATTGGTTCAAAGGAAAATGTTGCCTAGAAAATTCTAACATGCATTACATCATACAAAAAGAGACTGCCTAATCCAAGATATGAAGGACGATGACATACTTCCTACAACTACTGCTAATGTGAAGAAGGAAAACACAAATTTAGACTTGTTCAGTAGAGAAAAGTATAAATTTTGGGCGTTAGCTACCATTTTGCTCCTTGCATTTTGGTCCATGTTCACCAGCACAATCTCTCCTCGATGGTAAGGTAGTATTTCCTCGGTGAGGACATGATTGAATTGCTAGGATGCAACCCAGTAAGGTGACGAAGCAAACGAAGGCACATTGGTAACAATGAAAGTGAAGAAGTGATCAAGAAGATGACCCTACCAAGGTCACTTTTGCTGAGACAACGATGAGATCCTGCAATCGCATACACCCAACACTTAAATGATCGAAAATGCAATAAACGTGGATATGAGGACATGGAAAATACCTTGCCTAGCTTGCTTTTCAGAGACGATGAACAAGAGCGGAGCTAACGTGAGTGACATACGCACAAAATGGCTGTGTGTCATCTTTCCTTTCAAAAACTCTAAAAGGGCGAATTGGTCATTGTATTTTAAAACTTATTCAACCCAAGTTTCTTAAGACCAGATAGATATTTGTTGATTTCATGGTTTTTTCGAGTATTTAAAATGTTGTTGTAGTACTTCATTGTGATTTTCCATGACAGAAGAAGAAGAAGATAAAGTTGCCATGTAGGCAGTACATTATAATCTATGATCCAATGGAGACGGTGTGTGCATGAGCACGCGCGTGCGCATATAAGGATGTTGAGAGTTTCCAACTGGAGATTAATGTTTAGACATTGATCTGTCGCTTGTGGCTGTCCAGTTTTTTAGAATTGATAAGGATTGCATAAGTCCAGAATTTATGCTTCAGGTGAAAAAGGGACACTAATATCCGACTCTTGGAATTTTAGCATGTTTCTAACACTTCACATAGATTATAGAATTTTAACGTGCAGCCCATAAACCCAAAAAAAAAAAAAAGACCAGATTTTTTTATTAAATTAATATTTTAGGATTTAATTATCATTTTTTATTTTTTATCTTTATGGTTTAAACATTACAATTTGCATATTGCATTCCTATTGACTTTATATTTTACTTCATTCTTTTGGAACTCTGCCTATGTGTCAAAATTTTGTTGGCTAATTTGGAGCTCGGCTTCCGATTGAATGAGATGTAACTACATTGTAGGTAGACAAGGGCAAGAAATTTGGCGTGGAATTTCCTGGATTGGAGAGTGTCCTATCAACTTCATTCATTCTTTTTTTTTTGGGAGTAAAAAAAAATCTCTATTATTATTATTTTTTGGATTGAAAAAGAAATCTTTATTTAATATACTCAACTCATTGGGTGAGAAAAATCCTCACAGAACAACAGCGCAATCCAGCTGCATGGAAAAAAACTAATCCAATTAAAATGTACAAATTTCCTACGGATTGTGTATAATGAAAGAAGCCAACCTATCATAATTCAATAAATTAAAGTTTAATTTTTTACTAAAAAGAAAATTCATATTTAATGTCTGATCATATCTTAAATAAAATTATGTACTTATATTGTCTCATCTTTTCATTCATGTTATATTTTATATTAATATTTAATAGTGATGAGGAATGAGATCCAACACACCCTGCTTCACATATTTCTATTTTTATTTATATATTTCATATAAAATATTTTTAACCGAATCTCAACTCCTAATAAAGTAATTACCTACTTTTTAACTAACCCTATCTTTTTATATTTACCCCTATTAAGCACCCTACAATAAATATAAAGTCATTATCAATAGGGACATTTTTCAAGAAAAAAAAGCAATTATTACACATTAAAAAATTAAAAATATCTTACATTTTTTAACATCTAATTTCTTAAAAAATGTTTTATATTTTTTAATGGAGAGAGGATATAATATGAAATTTCTTGTAAACCTTAATATTTTGAATCGTCTATGAGTAGCGTTGGCTTAATGAGTCCACGAGATGCACATCATCCGCATCTTTCATAAGGCGGAAATATTATCCATATTAGTTATCTATATTTCCTAAAAAATTTGATCAATTAACTGCTAGTATAAATGACTAATATGGACAACTATATGAGTTGACCGAATTCTAAATGACAAAACGAAACAAGAATAGCAAAGCTAATCTGATAGTGGTAGGTAATACATTACTAATACTTAAATTAAAATTAATGAGCATCACCCATTAGTACAGATTAAATTGAATCCAGTAAGAAAGAAGTAACATAAAGACAAGGGGTGGATTCATAAGCTCTCTTCTTCTTTTTTTCTCTATACGGAATCGCTAAAATCAAATTATTTTGTAATCATGCATATACGTTGTGTAATTAGAAAAAAATTAATAATGAAACCGTATACAAATTAATGCAATTATTTTTCTAATATAAATATCAAACTCTGTCTGATTTAAGTATTGTTAAGTTTAATAGGATGTGACTCTCCCAAAAATGTTTTGTATTCGTATGGAATTGAGCTTGAAATTTCATACTTAAGTGATGATAGTTCATTTTACTAGAACTAGTTGGCTGCACTTGTTATTTTTATATTTATTATCTTAATTTATGATTATAAATTATGTTGTCTTTCTTTTTATTTTAACATAAGAATTATAATTTGTCAATAAAATAAATCAATTACTCATGGGATATTAACGATAAGGATAAATGTAGATTCCTCCTCACTATGTTTGTTATATATTATTATTCTTGTTGTTGATGTAAATAACTTGTAAGTGTTATTTAAATTTGAAAACATATTTTGACTCCGGTGATTTCTGAAACCTAATTCATCTTAATATTATTAAAGCAAGGAATATTGATTTTAATAAATGTTAAAAATAAGTGATTGTGTGAACGGAACAATTTAAGTTAGGAATGAGGATGGCGACAGCAAATGGAGTGTTGACTACGGCAAATAAAAACACATTTTGCTGATTCATGAGCAGCTCAGTGTAGTGTTGGCCCTCCTTAAATCTAACTCAAGACATTAATTTTGTAAAATAGCATGCAAGAATTAACCACTAATTAAACTGATATTTTCATGATTAGAGGCAGTGAAAATAAAACAACGAATCTGAAGTACTGTGCCGATTATGCGGCTCGCGTGAACTCCACTTAAGCCTCATTAGATCTTTCACATCAATGTCAAAGTTTATCATAAACTCTCTTTCTTGCCTTCCAAGATGACCATTGAATATTGACTAAGCCATTCCATTATCTCATTATAAAATATGACTCTTGTTAACCAAAGCAGTGATCGTAATGTTCTTTTTTTGTTATATGATCAATATTGGAAGAATAAGATCATGCTGTGGGTGGACAGGTGGTTTAGTAAATTAACATTTGTTGGTATTCAGAAGATATTTATTTCAAATTACTTTTATTATATATATTTGTGTGTGGAAGAGACGATATTAACCAATTTTCTGAAGTTATATTGTTAGACCATGTCAAGCTTGAATTAGGCGGCTCAGATGAGCTGATGAACCTTAAAACTTGATATTTTGTCCCATGAATTAATTTAAAAAAAATCAATCATTTGATAAATTTAACGTCTAATTTATCACCTAACTAATATAAGCCGACTTTTCAACTATGAAAATTAAGTTGCGGCGTTTGTTTCGTGAAAATTATGTTAATTTGTGCACCTTAAGGTTAACAAAACGGTACATGATTCATCCCTTTTATTTTGTGGCGTGCATATTTTAACAAGAAAAGAAATTTAAAGGTGATTTGTATTTTTTTTTCATTATCAAAGAATCTATGAAAAAAAATTGATTAATTATGTCTATTAGGTTGTTAAAACAATCCATCAAACATGTCATTTTCCCAAAAACTAAAATGCCACAAAAGTTCCTAGCGATTAGAAAGCAATTATTACATTTCACACTACGTATTTATCATTTAGATATTTTCAAGGTATTTTATTATCATTCTCCCAAAACAAAATTCACACAAATCTTTACAAAAAAAGTTAAATCACCGCTTATGCATAAACCATGGTATATTCTGCGTTGTAGAAGCCCACGTAGTCATAAAATTACAAAGCACCATGGTAGAAGAAAAGGATGGCAAGTGGCAACATCAAACCGAATTTCAAAAAGTAGCCATGTCAAAGAAGAATCCAATTCAGGCTCACCAAGCTTTTAATAATGTTCTTGTCAGGTAATGTGCAGCAAAACCACATCACCTGTTAGATACGAACAAATTTTCAGAGAAAAATGGTCAAATAAAACCAATAAAAACGTTTTATTTCCGAATGGTCCTTCATCATCATGATCAAAACCTTGGAAGGGACCAGGGGAGAAAATTACATTACGGCGCACGAAATGTTAACCAAGGCATGGTGTCAGTAATTTCACATGAACATCAATGATAGATCCAAGCCACAAGAGAATGCCCTCTAATTTATGCCAATCATTCAAGAATTGATAGTATAAACTTCGCAATACAAAGGATTCTTGAACTTTTACAGTATAACCTCTGGGACCATTTTAATTTCCAGTAAACTATGACATACAAGAAATATTACATGCTGGAAACGAGTTTCTTTCTTCTTATTATGTAATCACAATTACAGACCATAAACAGGTATCATAGCAAGACGGCAAGTAGTATAAAAATTAAAGGGAGAAACCAAACCCGTTTCTTCAAAATTGTTTCTTTTGTTAAGAACCTGATTTATATTATATTGGCTGTGAGGTTCTTATCTGCTGCTTCATGCTGTCAGAAGGAAGCTGAGAAGAAACTTCTGGCGGCACAACAGCTGAAGCTGCCATGGTTTGGTACTGTGAAGGCATGGCATGAGCCAAATGTTGGGTGTAGTATATCTGAGCATGTGCCGGATCGGCATAGTCATAAGCATAATTTGGTGGGGCAGCAGAATTGGGGGCAACAGTCTGAGAGGGATGATGAATCTGAGAGTAAGCAACAAATTGTTGCTGGTGCTGGTGCTGAGGCTGACCAGAAGGAACATGAACTAATTGAGGGATGCCTGCAGTTGCTCTGTATGCACCAGCAGCCATTTCAGCCTTTTGAATGGGAACATTTCTTACAGGATTGTAAGCTGCAGAGGCCGGAGCCATCGTTGGATTTGGCTGAGCTTGGGGTCGGCTAGAAGGGATGGCTGTGTTGGTTTCACCAATATTAGGTTGCTGCTGCTGCTGCTGCATCGATAAGTTGTAAGGCTGGGCCTGTCTTGGAGGCATGTAGTAAACTGGGTATTGCTGATCAAGCTGAGGGTGATGCTGAGGATGAGATTGTTGCTGGGAAGGATATACAGGATAATATGCTGGCATTGGCACGGCCCCGGCAGGAGTATGGTGAATGAAATGGGAATTAGGTATGAATTGCTGCTTCTGCTGCTGTTGAGGCTGTTGCTGCGGATCAAATTGTTGTTGTAATACATATCCAGGGTCCTGCACCTGCTGCTGTATCTGGATCCTAGAGTGAGGATCAGACATATTAAGCTTTACTGGATCAGCAGGATTACTGAGAACCCTTGTAGTCACAGTCGGAATCTGAACTTGTTCTTGATAGAGTACATGTTTTGGGCGTGACAAAGGATTTGAAACACTACCATCACTGCAGAATTATAACAAGTATCAAGCACCTAATTAAGCACAAGCTAAGCTAACTCTAACTGGTATGGTATACCACACTTGTATATCCAGAATCAAACGATATAGAAAAATAATATTATATCTAAATAAATAAGCACAGTCGAAAATCCAAAATTAGAGGACTTTGAAGATACCTTGAAACTGAATCTGGGGAAGGCAAATCAACAACGCCGGCTGACTTCTGTTGAAATTGAGAAGGCAGATTCTGAGGCTGAGGCTGAGGCTGAGGCTGTAGTTGTGGTTGCTCTGTCGTAGGTTTTCTGTAACCCACGGGCACTCCGTGGTCTGATCTCTCATCATCGGAGAAAACCCGATTCTGGTACTCGCTGACAGACACAACGGCGGAGCTAATTGGCACAACCACCGGAGCTGTGATGGTCCCCGGCATCGGAGGAGGAGGAGATAGAACAAGAAACGCCTCATCTTGCCTCTGCCCACCACCACCACTAACACCCATTTGAGCAAACTGATCCTCTATTCCCACCGCCTTCTGATCTTGCATCCTGACACTGCTATCATCCACCACATGAACCCGAATCGGCGGCAAATTCACCAGTGAAGGTGATGAAGAAGTGGACCCAAAAGACGAGGTCGTTTCCAGCATAGGGGAATCAGGCACAGAGTGAACGTCCTGTCCCTGCTTCGTCACATTCTTGCCATTCCCGAAAGATCCAGATTGTTGAGCAACTTCATTTTCCCTGGAAACCGAGTCCAGGTTATTACCACCAGCATCATCGTCGAGACCCAGCAAGCAATTTACCGAACCGGACTCAGAAAACCCTCTATTAAGTACTCCTGTGCCGTTTAGCGCGTTCAGGAACCAGTCATCCGACTTAACCGAGTTATCAACCACAGGCCCAACCGATTGCGACGATTCAGGCATCGTCGGGAACAAGAAGAGGCGGATTCTGGAGGGCTTAGCCGACGAATTCGAAGCAATTCGATCATACTCATCGATCATATTATCAAAATCTTCATCAGTAGTGACAGAGATCAAGGAATCGAGGTCTTCACTGGGGAGCTGGTATTTGAGAGTGAAGGGATGGCCGTTAAGGAAGGTTTTAGAGAGGCGCGAAGACAAGTCGCAGAGAGAGGTGTTCCGATCAACGACGACGATACGAGTATCGCCACCGACATAACAGAGAGACTTGTCGTGAGGGCGAGGGACGATGTGACCGCCGTAGCTGCACATAAGGCGGAGCTTGGAGGAGGCAGAGGCAGGAGGGATAGGGTCATCCCAGATGTCGGCGTTACGTGAACGGGGAGAAGAATCAACGGAGTCAGGGTAGTTGAGGTGAGACGGCGGCATCGTCGTTGTGACGCCGGCCGAGAGAGGCGGAGGAGGTGGAGGCGCCTCCATGGGAGGTAACGTACGATTTGCCTCGGTGATGCCGCTTCTTGCAGAGGGGGAGAGAGAAGAAGAGGAGAGTGGGGAAGAGGAGAGGGAGTGGAAGTTGGATGCTCTTATAGTTACTCCACACTTGGCTTGTATCTCCAGCTGTTTTTCGTTTATTTTTCTCTTGCTTTTTCTTATCATAAATACTATACGTCAATATCGTTACTTAGGGCCCGTTGTTTAAAAAAAAATTACTACATCACTTTGTTTCATGACATCCCACACCCCTTTCGAAAAACCAAAAAAAAAACAAAGAAAAAAGAAAAAATCGTGAGTTCTATCTCTAAATAACCAAAGAAAATATTATTAGATGTGTATGTGTACTTGTGTGTGGTGTGAGTGTGAAGGAACAGAAATAAAAGAGACCAAAATTAAAAAATATATATATTATAAAATTTTTGTAAATTTTAAAGGAGTTAAAAATATTTAACATCTATATGATACAAAAAATTTAAAAAAATTGAGGTGGCGTGACCCCTATTGATCTTCCTTCCCTCCGCCACTAATAATAGTCAGGATAGTTAAAAAAAAAAAACAAAAGAAAAGTTTACTATTTTATAAAATTTCATAATATTTATTTAAATTTTTAAAAATAATCAAAATAAAAAAATTAATTTTTTATTATTTTGATAATTTAATTTAAATAATTTATGAAAAATAATACTCCTTTAGATTTAATATTTAAGTCATTCATATTATGTATTACTAGGAATACATAATTAATAAAAATCTTAAAACACATTAAGTTAAACTTTAATAAATACTCATTTCTATTCTTAATAAGAATAAAAAAATTATTTTTAACATTTACTAGAGGCAGAAATATGAAAATGAATATAAAAAATAATGAAATGTCATGTAAATAATATTAAAATTAATTTTTTTTTGTTCTGTCATAATCTTAATTATTAATAGGACCACAAGAGTATGATATAATAGAGATAAAAGAATGCCATGAAAATACAAAAATATAGGGAGATATCATAAAATTTTATAATAACTGAATGATATATCATTTTTAATAAATAAAACTTTATGAAGATATAATTAGATTTTAAAAAAATAATTTCTTTTTTATAAAATCTGTAAAACAAATATTTTTTATAAAATTTCTAAAGTATTTAAAAATTAATTATTTTTATCATCATATATTATTAAAATAAGAAATGTTATTTTTGCCAGAAAGTAAAATAAATCTTTAATGTAGTAATATATTGTGCAAAGATCAGGGAGTATTTTTCATTTACCATGGTAAAATTTTAGTCCATTTGTACCCCCCAAAAAAAAAGTCCCTGATAGGAAAGTTATGTTCTTGTTTTTATGGCTTCAAAGCTAAAGAATTAAATAATTAATTTTTTTTTAATCTTTATAGCTTAAAAAGGAACTGTTTATTGCCTTTGTTTATTAAAAAAAATTAAAGGGGGGGGGGGGGAATTGTTTGGAGCGGAAAGATCCGAATAATTCTGACGGACGCAGTAATGGGATTTAGATTTGATGCCGAGGAAAAAATCTTAAGATTCGTGGCTTGACACAATATCTGAGAGTGTTACGCGGGATTATGATTCATTCATTCATTTCATAGTTTCTATTTTTTTTCTTTTTTTTTTTTGCTCGCAAAAATAAGTCCCTTTTATTATCATAAGCATGCATATATTTATTCATTCATGAACTCATTTTCCATTATTAACAGAGACATTTTCCAAATAAATAAATAAATTTTTAGATTTTTTTTGGTCAGATTAAACTTTTATATTTGTTCATATTTTATCTATTATATGCATTTTTTAGTAATTTTTAATTATTTAAAAAAATTCAGATCTTGGGCAGTGGCAAGAAGATTGTTCTAGTTATAATTAAATAAATGTATTTTACATAATACAGTTGTGTAATACTAATGAGTAATTAATATAGAGCGTCTGTGTTTTAAACATATTTTCCTTGCGCTTATAAAATTTTGAGTTGGTCACAAAACTATTTTTGTTTTATTATCTTTTCATTTTATTTCTTTCTGTCTACTAAAAACAATTTAAAAAAAATTACCCTTAACCTAACCGATACAACCCATGTTTGACCTTTAATTTTACTAGATATTTCATCACTTTTATCTAAATTAGACATGATAACATTCAAATCTAACTAACGTATTAGATATTTAATTATTTTTTATCTTAAAAAACAGGTAAGATGATAATTAGAGATTTTGTAAAGACATTAATATTAATTATAGAACTTAAAACATTGAAATGCCAGAAAATGACCATAGTCTTTATTTACAATTAAAATATTCCTTTTTAAATTCATATTATTTTTTCATGTTTGTTTTATGTCTCACTTAAAGATAAATAATTGAGTGATTTATTTATTAAAAATATTTAAAAAAAACTCATTAAGTTTACGTTCAAAAACTAAACATATGTTATAATTTTTAACATTGAGACTCTTATAATTTTTATAGGAAGAAGTGTAGTTGTTTTATACTGATTATTATAATTCTTAGACGTGTCCCTTTGTGCCCCTCTTGAGACAGGAGACAAAATGGAGCAACTGAAATCATCTATCCATTTTTTAACTTTGAAATCATGAATTACTTTTTCTCAAGGTTTTAAAAATTAAATTGATCGTTGAATCAGATTAGTCATTGATTCACAATTTATTAATTTAATCGTGATTGAATCAATTAACATTAAAGTTATATATTTTAAATTTATGTATCATAAATAAATAAATAAAAAATATATTCAATGTTTATATTTTTAAAAAAATATTAATAAATGCTTAGTAAAATAATATATTGTTGATGAATGCATGATGAACATTAATTATTTTTGGCTTTTTTTTATTTTAATTAATTTTTAAATAATTAAAATCAGTTTTTAAGGAAATTGGTCAGGTTTTCAATCAAATTTTTTGTTTTTTGATTGATTTTTCCTGTCGCTGGCCAGTTTCCTTATAATTGGCTTTAAAAGATCAACCGAATCGGATCAAAGGCCGTACTTCTTGGGGGGTGGAAATCATCGTGTCTTTAAACTATTTTTTAGCCATCCAATTTGTCATAGCTTCACAAATTGTTGTTGCATTATTTTCATCGTTACTAGTTACTACCCCATCTACACCATGCTTTAATTTTAATATTCGAAATATATCCACACCTCAGCCATTTTTATTTTTTGTCTTGGAACACAAATTTAAGCAGCATACGTTATACTGCTAGACTAGTCCCAGCAACGTAAAATTGGAATCTCAAAATTTAAATGACAATAAATAAAAATTAAAAAAGTATTAATTAATTTAACTTCATTTTATATTAAAAATTTAAAAAAAAATTATCTCATATTAAGGGCTGGAGGGAGTGAGATGAGTTCAAAACTTTTACCAAATAAATAAATAAAATGAGTTCAAAGTAAACTATTGTTAACAAAATTATTTGTTTATTTAACAATAAATTCATGAGCGTTAACACAGTTTTGTGAGATTTATTACGCATTAGCCGCGTTAGCTATTGTTAGCACTAATTCTTTCTCTCAAGGGAGTTTCCTGTCTTCAATGTAATTAATGTGGCATCCTATAAATGGTAATGGCAAAGTACAAACGCGTTATTCCATTCTTAATTTAATTTTGATTAGATAAACCATCCATACATTACAAATGTCAAAATGTTAGTAACTTTTTTAGATTGCAAATTGCAATAATGAACTTTTGTTCTCTCAAGTTTACCTCAATTATTATTAACTTAGTCTTTAAAATTTAATTTTTATCAGTCAAGCTTTTGAAATTTCAAAATCATGTACCATTAGTCCTTATAATATTATTTTCCCTTCAAACTATGGACTAATTGCTTACTACTATATAGTTTTGAAACTTTATGTACTTAATTGATAAACGTTACTAGTGTGTGTTTGGATTAAGAAAATAATCAATTTTTTCAGCTAAAAAATCAATTAATCAAAAAAATACCCAAACATCAATTTTTTTTAGTTAATCAATTGTTGGGAGAAAAGTCGATTGTTTTCCTAAGCCGTCTCTGTGAGCCTCTGCGTCGAAATAGAAGGGAGGAGAATAAGAAAAAGCTGATCAAAAAGTATGTGGGAAAATTATAAAAAAAAATATAAAATTTAATAAAAATAAAATCATACTTTTTTTCTCTTTTTTTTCAATAAAATTTAAAATTTTATATCCTTACAAAAATTACTAGCTTAAATTTTTGTCAATCGCCACCCTCTATTTAATACTTACTATAAAATTAATTTAAATAAAATATTAATTGATAGAAAAAATTAATTTAATTTAATTTAAAATTTATAGTCATTATAAATATTATTGCAAAAGTTCAAAAAGAGAGATTTTGCATCCCTTGTTACATTGCTATATTTTTTATATTGCCAAAATTTTAAGATAATGCTTAACATTTTGGTTAGATATGGCTTTATTCATGATATTATTAGAGATCAATTTATATATTATCATCTTCAATAGTTATTATAAAATTGATGTTTGGTATTTAAGAATTAAATCTTTCTCTTCTATTAAATTTATTTAAACAAAGATATATTAAGTTATTTATTTACGTAAATTAAATTTTTAATATTAATATAATTTAAATTTTTATAATTAATCAAATATGTAATTTAAATAATATATTTTATTTCTTAAATAAAATTTAACAAATTTAATAATATTAGATACAAACATATTAATAATTTAATTTTGAAAAGAAATGGAAAAATAATATTCAAACATATTATATTATAATATAATTAATTATGATTAAGATCAATTATATTAATCAACTATTTTCATAATCAATTATACCCAACTGAAATCTAAATGAGCTTGTATTTAACCAAATCAAAAAGGAAAAATAACATCGATAGACCTCTATGTTAAATTTATATCACACAAAAACTAAATAATTTGATATTTTCTTCGCAATCCTCTAGTCCTTCTTTTATATTAATTTTGTAAGAAACATTAATAATAGTTTGCTATCAAACCATTGCGAGCGATGAGGTTGATGAAGACATATTTATTCAAAAAATAATTGTTTAGGTG